GGGAGAATGCCATGCACACTCTTCAGTTTCTAGAGCAGTCCAATTTCGATGAATTTTATTGAATTTTACATGTTTGATGAATTTCGGTGTACAAATTTGGCTGGAGTTATTTCCGCTTGCTCCAGGCCACCCCTCGGGTGCGACAGAGACAGCGAGTCAGGGAAGTGGGCCAAATTCATCAAGGCCTGCTGCTGGGCGCGCTGTGCGCAGGGCGGCGCAGGGCGGCGCAGGGCATGGAGCACTCGAGGGATGTAGGGCAGGACCCGGGACTTTTCCGTCTGCAGCCTCAGCGCCTCGGCGCGCCTCGGCCGGCAGGCGGAGCAGGCACGGAGCAGCGAGGCGCCCGTCGTGCAGACCTGCAGAACGGGCACCTTTTGTCCAGGAACTTTCCGTCGTCCTGCAGCAATGCAGTGGTGGGGCAGACACTCTTATCGTCGCACTGCTGTCCACCGCGTCGTGCACCCGCCGGCGTCACCGCGACGCCACCAACGCAAGGCGTAATTCCCATTGATTCCCGTACATGCGCCGCCCCGGACCGGCGAATTCATTCCGTTTCGTTCTCTTTGCCGGTCGCCGCACCGTTGCCATGGCTACCCGGCTGCCCGCGGCGGCGGCGGCCTGGGGGGTCACAGCAGCGCACAGCAGTGTGAGGCTTGCTGTGTGGCGCCAAACCCATTCAAATGTGCCGCGCGACGCGGCGCGACCCATCCATCATAACCAATCTGCACGTGGGGACTGGGCTGGACCCTGGGCCGGGCCCTGCCAGCGGAAAACTACTAAAGGGCCGAAGGGACCACTTGTAGGTGAGAGGGGTTGGGGCGAGAGAGAGAGAGAGAGAGAGAGAGAGAGCTGCAGCGACGCCAGCAGGAGGGAGAGAAAGACGAGAAGAGGAAGCGAAGTGGGAGGCAGGCACTGCGAGCGACAGAGAGAAAACCAACGCCGTACCTGACCCAGGCTAATGCGTAGGTACCACACTAACGCTCTCACTCACACTCACAGCGCACACGACACTGGCTGGAAGAGGAAGGGGACGGCACTAGTTGGAGTGAGGGGGGGAGGGGGGAGTCTTTCGGACCGGTTCAATCATTCCGAATGCTATTCACTGCCGCGGTGTTTTTCCACTCGAAGCAGCGGGGCGGGGCAGGGCGGGGCGGGGCGGGGCGGGCGGTCCAGTGACAGGGCCGGCCGGGGCAGGGGCAGGTCAGGACCACACTAGAACCGAGGGCCGCATAACTTAAAAGCCCAGGGGCTCCAGGTGACACGCGGCGGGAGGGGACCGAGTCAGCCCATTCGTCTCGGCTTATTAGATCCCCAGAGCTCGGCGTGAATGGAGGAGTGCGGAGAGGAGTCTAGAACAAGCGTCCCATTCACGGGTCCCGAGGGAGTTCCGAGTAGACGCGGCGAGTGCTGGGAATGCTCCCCACCAGGGGCACGCCTGGGGCACGCACTTCGCGGAACGGAGCACGCCGTTCCGTACCGTCGGCCAGTCCAGCGTTAGCAGACCCGTTCCATTGCGCAATGCGGACCGAAATAAAGGACAGGACTTCCCCGCGATTAACGGTGTACTTTCGCCCAGGTGACTCACGCACGCAAAGAGGGGGCTTGGAGCGTGCGGCTCAACGCGGCGGATAAGGCCAATGTCAAGGTCACAGCACTGCAAGCTCACTGCATAGGCATTGTGCCCCCCCCCCTTTTTTTGGGGGTCCCCAGTTTGGCAGCCGGTTTGGCCCGGCTGGCGAAACATGATGTCACTTTGTGTGTGCACCTGGACACAAAGTATCGGCCACGGCCAAGGCCTGCCTGGCCTGCAACAAGTGGGCGAGATAGGCCGGGCCGGCAGGCCAAGGGCGGCGCGCAGGCAGAGTCAGTCTCTCTCTTCAGTCCGCAGTTCAATGTTAAGGCCAACGCCGAGCAGAGCCAGGGCAGAGCCTTGCCATTTTACTGCAGAATTTTCCATACGAGAGGCTGGGGGTCGGACGATTGCCCGCGCCGTCCCCAACCGTGTCGAGAAAAAAACAACAACAATGCCGAAGTTAGTCCTGCGAGACCATTCCAGTGACAGTATAGAAGGTCGAAAGAAAGACAACAACAACAATGTTAGTCCTGAGACCACCCAATTCCAGTGACAGTGTAGGAGAGACAAGCGCGCTGACCGGAAGTGGTTCTGCGACGCGGCCAGTGAGGGATTGGCTCCAATTGCAATAACCCGTTGGGCGCCACAAATTCGATCTCGGGTGTCCAAACAACACTGCATGACCGCCCCAGGTCACAACAACAGTGACCCACGTCAGCGTCACAATGGCGTGCTTAGCCAAACCGGACAAAACAGAGGCTTCAGGATCTGAGGAGAAGGAACCGAACCCCACTTGAAGAAAGCCGCAGTCATGGTACCTAAGTCATGATGACTAAGTCGCCTACAGCTATCGCCACTCTAGAAATCGGAGACAGTGGTGGAGGCCTTGAGGTACTCCACCTTCACCCTCCGAGCTTGACGTGCAGCCCCCTCGAGGGCGAAGGCCTCGGCCAAGGCCTCGGCGAAGGCCGTCATCGAGGAGGAGGCTGTCCAGGGAGGAGGGCAGGAGGCGGCCGCCTTGTGGTGACGGTGGTGACCTTGGCCATGGCAGTGATGCCGTGCCAGAATGGGCCAATTCCCCCAGCCCTGCGGTGCCCTGCGGCCGCCAGGCCCGCCAGGCCCGCCAGTCAGCCCCGCACATCGCATCATGTTTGTTGCCTGATCAAGCGGCCAGTTAACGGACTTGTTGTGCTGCTCCGGGGCAACACGCGGGGGATGAAGATGGAGGCAAACGTTTCCACCGACACGCGCGGCGGAGGAGAGGAACAACAGCCCGCTAAAAGGTCCTAACCTCACTTTTCAAAAACCCAAACCGGAGCGAGTGGCGCACAGTGGGCCAGACGACCGGTGGTGGCGGTCAAATTTTTTTGGGGCTTCGGGGCAAGTCGCGAAGTGAGACTCGAACCGAACGTGCGACCCCACCAATAAATTGCTCTGCGAACGAGGAATCCATTGGTGGGGTCACACGTTAGGTTAGGCTCAAAACGCGTCTTGAGTATTGGCCGCCTCCACCGCTTACACAGTGGCGCCGCACAGAGGAGCTTATGCATTCTCATGCAACTGCACTGCAAATTGAGGGGGGCATGACGAGCGAGAGGGGGTGCACGCGACACGCGGATCAATAGCACCAGAAAGGCCCCCCGATAGCTGCCTCACGCAAGGATCAATCAGTGCGCTGCTGTACTATGCACCGGCAGCAGCTGTAGAGTGGGAGGGGAGGGGAGGTGATGATTCGCACAATCGATTCCCACACCATGACGATCACACACTGCCATGGGACCACCTGTCGCAAGCCGCCGGCTAGACACTTCCTCTCTCACTCTCTTCGCCCCTCTCGCTCGCACACCCTCGACGGCCCACTCGTTGCCGCTATCGCGTGTATATTTCAAATAATGACGTTGTTCTCGAGAAGTGCTCGTTGACCAAGTTCTCTTAATCGCCAATACGCTAAGTGCGCCCCTACGTGGCGCGTCCTCAAGGGCGCCGACGTGCTTGTGTGGATGCGGACGTCACGGCGCACTTGTGGAGCGTATCGCGAGGAGCACCCCCTCGAAGGGCTGCCCGTCGCAGGGGCGCGAGAGAGACAGAAGCTTCAGTCCGGTGGAGCGTGCGAGGCAGTGCGAGGGGCGCCGAGCCGGATAATTCATGCACCGCCCACGGACGTCACACAGTCCCACGAGCCGCACGCGAAGACTCGGCCACACGACACGCTGGACAAATGTCAACGCAGAAAAAACAAGACCAAATTTAAATAAATGCTCCGGGCGCCGACTGGATTACATTTCTCCGCAAATAAGAAAAATTCCCCCCGGGGGAAAAGATGAAGGGGTGGTCCGGGGGGCGAGGGGTGGGGGGAATGTATGAATATCAAAAGTGCGGCGCAGTTCGAGTCCAGCCAGTGGCCAGTCCCCAGGCGAGGATCGATCTCTCGATATGACGCTCGAGAAAGGCAAGACGCAGGGCAGATGGCCTTCCATGATGCATGGCGCTGACCAAGTTCAAGGTCGTTCAAGGTCGCGACACTGCGCGGGGGGCGGCCTGCAGGGGGTGGCTTTGAATGGGCGGCGCTCACGGCAAAAGGGGGCTTGAGAAGCGCTTCCTGGAGGGGGAGGGCGGCTTTCCTGGAAAGCGATTTGCGGGGGGATGGCGTGATAAAGGGGGTCGCCACACGAGGGCTGCTGGAGGGGGTCGCTTGAGGGGTGCTTTCCAGGAGAAACGTTGAAAGGACGGTTGTTTACACAGGCGGCTCGACCAGGTTTTAAAAGTGTGCCTGGAGAAGGGCGAAGCCTTCACACGAATGCTAGCTCGAAAATTCTCTCTCAACCCTTCACCGCGGCGCTCGGCCAGACCGGCGGCCGGTGGCTGGAAGTCGGGTCCAGGAGCCAATTCCAAGAAAAGTTCATCTCGTTTCCTCCCGCCGCGGTCGAGCCTACACTCCAATTTGGCTCCACACATGACGAATGGCGGTTCCTGATAACGGCGAATCAGAGAGAAGCAGCGGAGCAGCGGCGGAAGAGAGAGAGAGAGAGAGAGAGAGAGAGAGAGAGAGAGAGAGAGAGAGAGAGAGAGAGAGAGAGAGAGAGAGAGAGAGAGAGAGAGAGAGAGAGAGAGGCGGTGATGACGAGGCGGCGAAAAGGAACGGAGAAGAACCGAAAGAAGACGAAGACCGGGTTTTAAAAGCGGCCAGGTTGCAGGTGTCTGACGGTCTGGCAGGTCCCATAGCGGAGAGCGACGTAGAAACCCATACCATGCACAGCCATGCAGTACAGCCGAGCCGGCCGGTAAGGCGGGGGCCCGCGGGGGGCGGAGTGGGGGGCGGGGGCCCGCGGGGGGGGCCGCACTGGTGGGGGCCGCGCGGGGGTTGGCCCGGCCGGGCCGCCATATAAAAGCGAATGGTAGGGCGCGCGCCGGCTTCAGATACACGCTAGAGACTTGCCGGTCGACTTGTCTCGAGATACAGGTCTTTTTCTACTAGAGTCGGTGCTCGCTCGCACACGCGTTCGCCTAGTGTCAGTGTGTGAGAGTGTCTGTGTGAGTGTCAGAGTGACAGTTCGTAAACACAAGCCATGTGGTACCTCAGGAATGGACGCTCCGTCTTCGACAGGGATGCGGTAAGTGTATCTGGTGCAATGTCACTCTCTTCCTTCCTTGACCAAAATTTAAATTTTGGTGACAGGTGTCAAAGTTGCAACGTGCCTCCTCTTGAACCTAAAGTTCTTTCGCTAAATTTCGGTCTGATTCAACAGCAAAATATGAAAGCAGCAAAAGGTTCACCCTTCTCTCCAACATTCAATTTAAAAACCCAGTTCTGTTGTCAAAAAATTTAACAAATTTTAGAATTTTTAAAACGATTTTCCGGGGGCGAAATTTCCAGTCGATTATCGTGAACCTTTCACCACACCAACACCCCTTCCGTCATTTCCTTGCGGTCCGATCAAAGCTTGGCGCCAAAACGTTGGCACGCTGCCGCCCCGCCCCACCCCACCCCACCCCGCCGGCGTCATTTCGCGGTGTGCATGCGAGTGCGACGCGTCGCTGCGGTCCGCTCGTTCCGTAGGATCTTTCTAGAAGGCGAACGAGCTCAGGTCGCGCCGTGCCGCCGTGCCGCCGGGCTCGATACCGCTTCTGGGCACACTGTGCCGGCCGGGCAGACCAGCCGGGCAGGCCGGGCAGGCCGCCGTGCCATGCCCAGGCCGTGCCACGCCGTGCCACAACAAGCAGCTTGAGCCGGCAGGTACACAATGCTGTGCCCTGTGTGCGCCGTGCCTACACGACATGCGTATCAAAATTGACTCTTTAAAAAACAAAAAACATTTTAAAAAATTATGAAAAATGTTTGAATTTTTTCGCGGGTACAGTTTCCCTATCTTCGTAGTCTACGACGCGAATGGAGTGAGCCTGTCCGCGTTTCGTACACTCGACTTGGTCTCAGTTGGGTGTTAGCACAGCTGCGCCAAACCCCCAATCGGCATTTCTCTTTTTTACTCCGACTCTTTCTTTCTCATTCGTCGTTCACTCGCGTCCTTCTGTCGTCATTCACCTCCGCGATCCGCGAGGAAGAGCACTCCGTGGCACTGCGAAGCACGGCGCGGCGGAAGGCCCGGACCAGAGCGCGACCTGCACCGCATTGCATCACCTGGATAGCAGCGTTTGTCCCACGGGAAGACGGCGCGTAAAAAAGGAAAAGCCGGATACGACAGTAATTCCTGTGCCAAAGTTCGATGACGCGTCTCGTGAGATAACGAGGGACGTCGCGGTCGTCGCGATGATGATCGGGCGGCGTCGCGACGCCGACCTAGACCGTGAAACGCGCCGCAGCCCCCCCCCCCCTCTTTCCCTTTCACAGCTGACTTAAGGGAGGGGGAGGGGGGCGCTGGAGGCACGGCAGGCAGACGACCGGCAGGCAGGCCGCGCCACCGGCAGGGACGTCGACGGCTACGTAAAACCCTTCCAGACGCTTCCACTGTAAGTCGATAGCCTGGTCGACGCGATGACGCTACGCGATCAATATGCAGAGCACTCTCTCTCTCTCTCTCTCTCTCTCTCTCTCTCTCTCTCTCTCTCTCTCTCTCTCTCTCTCTCTCTCTCTCTCTCTCTCTCTCTCTCTCTCTCTCTCTCTCTCTCTCTCTCTCTCTCTCCCCCTCTCTCTCGTTCTATCTCGCGGCGCGGACGCGGGGGATCGAACCCGCGACGGTTCGGACACGCAGCGTCGCGCGACCGCGACGCTCGGCGCCGCGGTCGCGGACTCGGCCGTGCCGCAGCCTTGCCTGGGGTCGCCGTGCCGGCCGAGCCGAGCGTTTCCGCGGATTCGGGACTTTTCTGATTTGGCGAGGCCCGGTGGGGCCCGGTGGGCCGGGCGTGTTCGACGTCCGCCAAGTGTACACAACCAACCCTCCGGGCGCGCGTCCCAAAACACGGCAATGTTTACACACCCGCGGCCATCTGCCGCCCCGCCGCCCCCGCCGGCGCTGCAGATAACTATACTTCCACCGGCGCGCGCGCCGCGCAACGCGTTAAACCTCCAAACTCGCAAATCCGCCCCCAAACTCCCAAGGCCGGGCGGTGCTCGGGATGAAATGACCGCCAAAAATACGCCGACGGGACGCGCCGCCAACGCGGTGAAGTGGCAAGGCGCGGTGCTTCGGCGTGACGGGTTTGACAGGGAACCTTAGATCTGGCGACGCGACGCCGCAGTGTAGGGGCTTGGAGCGCCGCGCGCCGCCACGCCGTGACGCACAGACTGTCTGTTGGTCCGTCTGTCTGTCGGCCTGTCTGTGCCCCCGAGTCAGCTCCTTTCCCTCCCCCCCCCCCCCCCGTTCAGCTCCTCCCCTTTCGCCTGCCTCCGGGGCCGCGCAGCCCGCGCAGCCAGAAAACTGCTTATTAGCAGCAACTCGGCTCGCGGCGGCAGCGGCAGCGACATGACGACGCGCAAAAAGCGTTTCCTCCAACATTTGACGCTCTAGCAATGACGGTCGTGTGCAAAAAGAGGCGCAAATTACCTGACAGCCGAGCCGCGCGACGCGGGCCGGGCCGGCCGGCCGGGCGGTTAGGCAGATCCTGAGTCGACGAGTCACTTCACTTCCAGGCCTTCCAGACCGGCCACAAGCTTGGCCCGGCCGGCCGTTACAAAAGCAGCCAATTGGCGCGCAAGCGGAGACACTGACGCGACTCGCTTTGGCCGCTTTGGCCGCTTTGGCGCAACGGGAGGACGACTCTTCCGTATCACGGCGTGACGTCATCAGGGCCCACTTCCACACCGCGCAAGGCCGTGCAAAGTGATAATGACATCAAATGGGCCAAACTCCAAATCCCCCCTCTCTTTTTACTCAGGAAGCAGTGGCCACGGCAAAGCGGCCGGCTTGCTGGAACTGGAGCCTCCCCTCCCCTCTCCCCCCCCCCCATCCCCCGCGGGATGCCGAAGAGTCGCTCTCTCTCGCGCCTCCGAGAGCGACAGAGCGCGAGTCTGTCCCCCCCCCCCCCCGGGCCGGCCTTTACCCAGAACTTCAACGCGGGGGCCGTCCCGGTGCGAAACTTGGTGTCATCCCGTGTGCGCACATGTTGCGCCTGATTTTGCACAGCTGGGCCGGGCAGGCCAGCAGACTGATTCCGAGAGTCGTTTTCGTCGCTCTGTCTCTCTCGCACTCATGGGGAGGCCCCATAAGTGCGAGACAGAGCGACGAAAACGACTCTCGGAATCAGTCTGCAGGGAACGCCCTGCCGCGCCCGCCGGCCCCCGTGACTCAGTGGACCCAGTGTAGGCCCTGGCGGGGCGGGCGACAGGGCGGGCAGGAAGTGCAGGGGAGGGGGGGGGTGACGTCAGGGGCGCCACAATCGGCGACAATGACAGGCTGACTGTCCTCTTCCTAAATACCAGCGCGGCGCCCTGGCCGCCCTGGCCGCCGGCCCGCCCATCCCCGCCGTGCTCCTGCGACCGGGCGACGACGCGGACGTCACGAGGCCGCCGTCGTCCGGCCCGCCGAATTTTGTCCACGCGGAGTAGTCACGTGTCGGCGCGTCCTGGCGTGCCAGAGGCGTGCAACCCGATCGCCGCCTTATGCAATATTTGCGTTCTGACGCTCATCTCGTCGCGTCGCGTCGCGCGGAGGAGACAGTCAGACAGACGCGAGGACGGCGAAGAGCACGGCAAGGACCGCCCAGCCCGGCCCGGTCCATCCTCGGCACCGCCAAGCCTGCGCCAAGCAGGCCGGCGCTACCCCGCGCCTCTAGTCCCACACACTCACACACTCATTCCCCCTTCCACGGTCCGCGGCCCCGCGGAGATACCCCGCGCCGACGCCCCCCCGCGGCCGCGGCCGCGATACCCCGCGCGCTCCGAGCTGGCCGACGCCGCCGCGAGCGCCTGCAGTGTCGAGGTAGGCAACCCACGCACCGAAGCGCGCCGGGCTGCCTGCCCAGCACGGCGCTCAGAGCCTCCAAGCGCTGGCCGGCCGGAGTGACTTGGCGGAGCATTACTGCGAGCTACTACCACTGCGTAGGGAAACTCATTTCCAAAAACAAATCTCCAGTCAACGAGTTCAAGTCTTGGCGCTGGTGACGCGAATCGTTCGGTGTGCCGTCCGCGTGAAGGGCATAGACGCTCCACTGCCTCCCAACAGCACGACTTTTAACTCGGCCGCTCCAAAAACTAGTCGCTAGCGAGCTCGGCGTGGACGATGCCCTTCAGACGCCTTTGTTTGCGCTCGCCCACTGTCAAAACCATGCAGGCGGCGCCGGGAAAAATAAAAACGGGGCCATGCAACCAATTCAACAAGACGAGCAGTCGAGACTAGAGATAAACCGCGGACCAACTTTGTCTTTACCAAGTTTTAGTTTATCGCCCGCCAGCCGGTCCGTGCGGTCGGGCCGTTTAATTGGAACGTCACCACGACAAAGAAGGTCTTCATCGTCCGCCGTGCTTTTATTTCCCGGGGACCCGATGATAACAACGCCTCGGCAGGCGTCGCTCTGTCTCTCTCGCACTCGCAGGGGAGCTCGGTGCGACAGAGACAGCGACGAAACCACTGTGCAGCCTGCAGACGCCTGCAGAGAAAAGGGGTGAGAGGAATCCGTTCTCGATCGGACATTCCACCGCCAAAGTTTGAAATCGGACAGGTCCGTTTTTCTGTTCCATTTTTTTCCTCTTAATTTTTTTGCCCTTGTCGTGGCGCGGGCACACGCCTGACAGCGCCGCGGGTAAGAACGCGACGCCTCGCCGCGGGGCGGATGGCGGATAGAGGATCGTTTTTACGGCCGCAGTCAATCAGTCCCAGCTTCCCACGCCGCGGCGCCGCGGCTCCGGGGTGGAAAACAAAAACAAAAACAAAAAGCAGTCGGCTGGATGCATTGGACGCAGGACGCAGGAATCGGAGCGCCAGTCTTTTCTTGCCGGTTCTTCATTCGATCGGTTCCGCGCTAATCCAGCGCGGCTCTGGTTCCGCGAGGGCCGCGCCGCCGCCGCGCCGTCGCACACCTCGGCCCGCCGCGCCCAGGCGGACCAACGCGAGCAAAACGCTCGTAAAGGCTTTTAATGGGGTTCAGCACAAATATTGTTTTCCGACCTTCAGAGCGCGTTCGTTATCAGGCCCTCCGATTTGCACCGCGTCAGGGCCCGGCCGGCCTGGCCTGGGCTGGCGCGCAGCGGGGGAAGGCCACCACACTACCTTCATGTCACGGATTGACAAAGTTGCATCGTCTTCCGGTGGATCGCGGCGGGCATGCCGTGCGGCCGCCGCCGTCACAGAATTAATTTAGAAAAAGGAAAAACAACATGGACTTCAGTTTAGCTAGTCGTCAGAGAACAAAACGAAAATCAGCAAATCAAAAAAGAAGGGGTCGGTCGTGTTGTGGCTGAACGAACGCAAAAGACAACATAAAATTAGTGACTCCCACTCAATTAAATCGAAGCAATCGAAATCGAGTAGTTCCTTGACCTCCTATTCTGCCGATCTGGCGCGGCGGGCGCCCTGCACGCCAATTACAAGCCAGCAGGAAGCGTTGGCGGAGATAGCACTGCAAAAATTCAATCAGCACATCGTGACGCCGAGTCTTTGGCGCAGTGTCCCTATCTCCCCGATTCCCACTGGTTCGAACCAAATAACAAGAGCCATAAAGGCAGTGGGTCAGAGGTGGCCGGGCATCGCCGCATCGCCGCATGGCCGGCCGAGCGAAGAGGCGCTTCGTCGCTCCGTCTCCGTCGCACTCATGGGGCTCTCCGTGAGGGTGCGAGAGAGACAGAGCGACAAGCCGCTCTTCTGAGCCGCTCGGCCGTCATCACGTGGTCGCGGCGCGCCCCGCGGCCGTTGCGACACGACGTCCAACAATTTCGATAAGCAGAGAGACGGGGTGCAGGGCGTCACAGGGGACGCGACAAATTATTCAATCGAGCTCCAAGAAACGGGTCGCCGGCACTCCTTCGCGAACCAATTGTCCGAAGGTGACGCGCACTTTCCGCCCGGCACGTGCACGATCGGCCAATAAAGTGCAGCAAAGCGAACCCGATAGAAAGTCGTGGGGAACGCAGCGCCGCGTCGCCACGACTTTTTCCCTCCGTTTTTATTTCTTTCGCGAATTCTTGGGAACGCGAGCGGCAGACGCTACAGGCGGCAGGCGTCCCGGCGCTTGTTGTTGTTGTTGTTGTTGCCGGACTGGGGTGAGGCAGCGCCGGCCAGGCGCCCCTTTAGGAAATTCACGCGGGGAGCCCGGAGAGTCGGATAGATAGGCGGTGACGAGGAAGAGCAGACGACGCAATTAGCGGGCCTTCTGCTTCGGGGCGTGCTTCGCTGCGCCGGGCTGCGCCGGGCTGCGACCGACGTCGACGCCACCGACGCCGTCACGGCGTTGCGACACCACGTCGGGGGTGGCGCGGTGCCGCCCGCCCCGCACCCCGCGCCCAGGGCCTCGCGCCAGGGACGCTGCGCCCCGCTCGGCCAGTTGCTCCCGATCTGGCAGGCAGGGCAGCATGTCGACGCCATGCTGGCCCAAGGTCTCTACGCGATGTGGCAGGTACGACGGTGCGACCACCTGCTGCGACAGGACAGGACGGGCCCTTTAGCTCCGAAGGGGTCCACGCGTTCGACCAGGTCGCCCGGACGACCCCGCTGGCGGAGCAACGACGGGGACCCTTACAGACACGTACCATACGGATCACCCGTCTCAATTTCATCACCTTCGGTGTCTCACTCAGGCGATTGTTTTAGTGTTCACCCCCTGGAGAGCGAACCTTGAGAACACTCGGGGTACAACGTTAGGTGGCTTGCCGATTGCTTGGCCGGGGTTGCGTCAGGTTGTGACGTCAGCGGCTCGCGGCCTGGGGGCGCACGCGACACCCACATTCCACGAGGGTGGGGAACGTTAACGTTATCGTGCGGGCCGTGTGCCTACACCCGAAACGGGAAAGCGAAATCGGTCCGCGTGAAATCCAGCGCCTCCACAGCACTGTGTTGACCTTGTTGCCTGTCGGCTACGCTGTTTCAGAGACCCGCTCCAGATGACCACCGCATCTACAGGCCGTCCACCTCGCGGCCGCCCGTCGCCATATCGGGGGCGTCCGGGGGGTCCGCGGTGTCGTCCACCACGTCCATGGCGGCGTCCGAGTGCGGCAGCACCACCCTGCTGCTGCCCAGCCGCCACCAGCCCAAGCTGCAGCCGCACGCCCCCAAGGCGCCCGCCAAGGTGCCCGTCGTGTCCACCGTCTCGTCCTGCTCGTCCGTGGCGGTGAGCGACTGCGGCAGCGGGTCCCTGTTGCTGCCGGCCACCCCGGCGCACCAGGCCGCCACCGCCACGGGGCCGCGCGCGCACAAGCCCAACTGCCGCCACCACCCCGACAAGCAGTACCTGCGCGACAAGGAGGGCGACATGCGCGAGAGGAACCTGCTGCTGGCCGCCCCCACCCTGCAGGGCCTCCGCAAGGGCGACGCCAAGTACCAGGAGGTGCCCGACGACGACGAGTCCGAGCTGGAGACGCTGGCCGACGAGGAGGCCGGCCACGCGGGGCGCACCGGCAGCATGTGGCCACAGGTAAGGGATGAGCGGCAGCGCGTCGCACGCCGCGAGCACGCCGCCAGGCCTCCGTCTGCCTCTCTGCCTCGGCGGCACCGCGGCCAGCGCGGCCACCGCGCCGACATTTCCATTATTCATCCGGCTTCCTCAGGAAGCGCCGCGGACGCCGCCACTGCAGCGGCACGGGCCGCTCCGCCTTCCGCGGGGCATTCCGCGCGGCCCGGGCGTCCGGGTCGCGCCAGGTAGAGGGCTGGACGACGGGCAGGCAGCCAGGCCCTGCGTCGTAAACGCGCTAAACGCGCCCATTCCAATTTGCGGTTCGTCACGTCACGCGCGCCAAGGCCGGGATAAACAATACCGTTGCCACGCCATCGCGGCGTCGCGTCGTCGCCGACATGCACGAGGGCAGGGCGCGTCCCTAGCAGGGTCCGGCGTCGGGCCCTACCTCCCCGCCCTTGAGAGCGCCTGCGAACGAGCAGGTAGGCAATCCGCCGGGAGGCGGCGCACCGGCGCGCGGCGGGCCTGCCTGCCGTCCCGGCGCTCCGCCCTCCGCGCCGCGAGCCGCGAACGAAGCCGAAGCCGACCCTTCCGGGCCGTGGCGCCGTACAGACGTGCCGCCCCGGCCGGGCCCGCGCATTTGTCACGCACGGAACCGCGGCACCGCGGCACCGCCAAGGCGGCACATGTCGCGATGACGCCGAGCCCCCACCCCCACCTCGCGGTCCACGCGGGCTGGGCCCTGGCCGGGCCCTGCAAGCCCCGCGCTGCACCGGCCCGCCATGCTACGCCATGCTACGCCACGGCAGCCCCGGGGCGGCCGGCCTCTCGGCCAGGCCCGCCAGATCAGTGTCGAAACGTCCGCCATCGAGGAATGCGCGTCCAGTAGCCGCACAGAGCACGGCGTAGCCACTGCATAGCCAGCCGTCCACGTGCACATCCATCTCCGCGGCGTCGTCCCCGTCGTCCCCGCCCTCCGCAGCCCTCGCCGTCGAAGGGGATATAGTCCGAGCCGCGGCGTCGGCTACGCGCAGTCTCGCCGTCCGCGGCCTCCCGTCCGAACCGTCGCCGTCGTCGCCGCCCGCGGCCACTCCACCATGGTCAAGGTGTTGATGCGTGCGGACACGCACGTCAACATCAACATCAATGGCGACGAGCCCAAAGCCAAGTGCACCATGTCCCAGGTAGGCCAGCCAGGGCGCCAGGGCCCCCACCCACTCCGTGCCGTGGCCATCGAGTCCCAGAACATCGAGTCTCCGCGCTGCGCGACCGCCACACTGGCCGGCTTGGTGTACAGTCCGAATTTTAAAGCACGCGGTAATAAATGCGCATATGCCTCGCCTAGCCGCCTTCTTTTTGCTTTGCAATAACGCGTTGCAGTTTGGCGCGGCAGTGCGGGTCACGGCGGCAGGCGTCGCCAGCCGTCGCCGTCACGACGGTCACGACGATCACGCGTCAGAACCCACGCAGGGCCACCCGAAAAAAAACCGCGATCGACTGAATTTTATTCCCTTTTTAGTCAATTCGAACGGCCGAGTGCTCTCATCCTTCCGGCCGGGATTCCCGGGTCGCCGTCGCGGCGCGTTAGGGACGGACGACGCGAGCAGGCCCATCATGGCGGAGAGCGGAGCAGAGCAGTGCGCAGCCAATCGGAGAGCAAGGTGGCGGCGCGTGCCGGCGGCGAGCCCCCGGCACTGCGGACGCCGGACACACATTGACACACCGACGAGACACACACACGCACGCACATACGCACGCAGAGCACGATGCTCCGGCCGCGTCGCCGCTTCGCTCTCCGAAAATCTCTCTCCGGCCAGATAAGCAGCCTAATGTTGCGTCCCGGCGCGGCACCCCTCACACTGTTAGGCGCGTCCCGTCCCGCTGCGTCCCGCCCAGGCCGGCCGGCCAAGGTCCAGGCGGGGACGTCCCGGCCGTCCCGGCGTCTTGCTCTTTCTGGCAAAGAGAGGTCATTAGAACGACGATAAGCGGCACGGGTTCGTGGCCTGCCCGCGGCACCACGCGGCGCCACGCAGCGCCACGCACGCCCAGCGACACGCGGTGCATCGCGTCGCCGGCGAATCGTTTCAACGCCATTCCCGTCCCCAGTACTGCCGCGCATGGCGCCGTCGCCGTCAAGGTTCTCTCAAATTCCGTTACGGAGGGCGATAAATGGCAAAGTGGCCCGCGGTGCCGGGGATCGAACCAGGGCCACTTCCCCTGCCCAAAACACGTGCGGGCCTAAGTGCCCAAGTGTCCGGTCCGCCCGCCCCGCCAGCCCCGCCAGCCCCGCCAAGGCCAGAGATACGCGCTGCAGCCAATATAGCAACGGCCGCGAGGTCGGGGACGTCGTCGGGGGCGTCAGAGGCCGTGCCCCGCCGTGACCCAGGCCCAGCGCCAAGCCACGGCGAGCGTCCACTGCGCCGACGGCGACACTTTTCCCGCCAAAACAGTTCCATACGGTGTACCACTCCGGTGCGCACACTGCGGCCCGAGGCTGCCCGCGCCGCGGCGGTGGAGGCGGCGGCCGCGGCCGAGTGCGAGAGAGACAGACAAGTGCCTTGAATGGGCGCGGCGACGATGGCCGAGCAGCTCCGTAGTAAGCTATAGTATGCAAATAGCAGCCCGGGTTCGACGCCCCGCGCGGCGGCCGTCGCGGTGCAGGGTTCGAACACCAGTCGGCGACTCGTGTTTTTGTTTTGCTGTTTTGCTAAACTTTCCTTCCTCCTTTCCAGGTGATGGCGGCCCTGTCCGTGTCCCTGGGCTCCATGGTGGTGGGCTTCGCGTCCGCCTACACCTCCCCGGCAGAGACGAGCATGATCAAGGAGCTCAACATGTCCGACTCCGCAGTGAGTACCGCGCGCCACGCGCCGCGTGCAAGTCCGTGCCTCGGCCCCGCCAAGCTGACCGTGTGCCTCTCCCTTGCAGTGGTCCTGGACCGGCAGCCTGATGCCCCTCGGAGCGCTCGGCGGCGGCATCGCGGGCGGCCCGCTCATCGAAGGCATCGGCAGGAGGACCACCATCCTGGCCACCGCAGTGCCCTTCATCATCTGTAAGTACACTGCCTTTTGTGGAATTTTCGAACCGGCCGTGACGCTGGCAAAGCGTACGGAGAGTTCGCTGCCCCGACGTCCTGGAGGACACCCCGGAACAGCAAAGGGCTGCTGGCCAACGCCCAGCGCGTGCGGCGTGCGTGCGGCGTGCGTGCGGCGTGCGTGCGCAAGGTCGCGCCAGACGTGACTGACCCGTGCCGTTGTCTCTGTCTTTCGCAGCGTGGTTCCTGATCGCGCTTGCCAACAACGTCATCATGGTGCTGAGCGGGCGCGCCATCGCCGGCTTCTGCGTGGGCATCGCGTCGCTGTCCCTGCCCGTGTACCTGGGCGAGACGGTGCAGCCCGAGGTGCGCGGCACGCTGGGCCTCATGCCCACCACGCTGGGTAACACGGGCATCCTCTTCTGCTTCCTCATGGGCAAGTTCCTGGACTGGGACAACCTGGCCATGCTGGGCGGCGTGCTGCCCGTGCCCTTCCTCGTCTGCATGTTCCTCATCCCCGAGACGCCGCGCTGGTACATGTCCAAAGGTAAGTCGGAGAGTCAGCCACACAGCCACGCCTTTCCAAAACAAACAGGTGCTAAGGTTTCGGTTTCGGTTTGCAGGCAAGCCCAAGGAGGCGCGCAAGGCCCTGCAGTGGCTGCGAGGCAGCAAGACCGACATCTCCCACGAGATGGGCGAGATCGAGCGCGTGGCCAACGAGGCCGAGAAGAACGCCGGCGACTCCTCGCAGTGCAGCGAGCTCTTCAGCCGCGCCAACATCAAGCCCCTCCTCATCACCATCGGCCTCATGTTCTTCCAGCAGATGTCCGGCATCAACGCCGTCATCTTCTACGCCACCAAGATCTTCAAGGTGAGACTCGCTCCCCTTTACTTCCAATTTGTTTCGAGAACTTATCCCACATTGTCTTTTATTGAGGAAAAACGACTGGTTCTAACCCACTTGCCTCCACCCTCCAGGACGCGGGCAGCACCATCGAGCCCAGCCTGTGCACCATCATCATCGGCGTGGTCAACTTCATGTCCACGTTCGTGGCCACCATCCTGATCGACCGCCTGGGCCGCAAGATCCTGCTCTACATGTCGAGCGTGGGCATGACCATCACCCTCGGCACCCTGGGCAGCTTCTTCTTCGTGCGTGACGTCATGGAGGTCAAGCTGCAGGAGCTGGGCTACGGCTGGATCCCGCTCGCCTGCCTCGTCATCTACGTCGTGGCCTTCTCCGTGGGCTTCGGCCCCGTGCCCTGGCTCATGATGGGCGAGATCCTTCCAGGTGAGTCCGGCTCCGACCACCGTGGCTCAGACTTGCGTGTAAAAGTCGAGGAATAACCGGAATGTCTTTATGCCCTCCACAGCCAACATCAGAGGCACGGCCGCGTCGCTCGCCACCGCCTTCAATTGGTCGTGCACCTTCCTGGTCACCCTCACCTTCCAGCAGATCATGACCGGCATGGGCCAGCACGGCGGCTTCTGGATGTTCGGCACCGTGTGCTGCATAGGGCTGTTCTTCGTCATCTTCTTCGTGCCCGAGACGCAGGGCAAGAGCTTGGAGGACATCGAGAAGAAGATGACCGGGCAACGCATCAGGCGAATGTCCAGTGTGGCCAACCTCAAGCCCCTGCCTATGGCCGTGTAGACGCGTGGACGGACCACCTGTGCCACCTGCGTTGCTGGCAACGTGAAAAAAAAATCTGGCATCCGGTATTTGAACCCAGGCCCACTCGCCTTCCACAAAGGCAGGCCCATCACGGTGGAACGCGCCCGCGCACCCGCAGAGCACCCAGCCAGTGGTGTCTCGGGGCGGCACGCGGCACGCACGCAAGGATCCGAGGATTCACCAAAGAAAGCCCACTGGGGCAAACGCGGCGTCTCGTTAGTCGTTACACGGTGCCAAAAAGTGATGTCACATAGTGCCACAGGGTACCGCTCAGCGGTCTCGCTAGTCAGCAACACACCAAAGCTCTCTGATACATTGTAGATATCACAATATCACTGGAAGGAAGCGTTCCATCTTTTTAGTCGACAAGAGGAAACCTTATCGTCAATTTTAATATTACTGAAATGTTAAGCACAAGTTCCTTTAGGTAAAATTTTAAATTGACCGTTCAGTTTGGCAATAATAGTCAGTTAGAAAATATTTGGCAGGCGCCAGAAAAAAATGTCTTTGAAAGCTTAATTTTTATTTTTATTTATGACCATAGCACAAAAGGTGTGTGCAGGATTAGGTACCACGTAGTACTACGTACTACGCAGCTTGTCCTGCCAGGACACTGCAAGGTTTGTAGCTCAAAGAGGCGCACTCGATCGGTCGGAAACCGAACACGCGAATCTCCCATTCCTCTTATTAGATACCAGTAGGATATTAGTAGGAAACGTGATCTGACTATTAGTGTGATTTTTTTTTTCCTTTGAGGTTGTACAATGGGAATATTTCACTCTTAAGTGTCATTCCTTTGTACCACTCAATAATTTTAGTGTTATTTATTTATTGCAATTATTGTAGATAGGTAGATTTTCATATTTCTTGTTGTCAACCCACTCGTCACCCACCCAACCAACAAATTTGACGTTGACAAAGTGACCCTCACACTGTCAATACATTCCACTGTATAAATAACCCATGAGAGAAGTGAGCTGATTAATGCACACTCCCCTAATGCATTTCCCTTTCCCCAAATGTATATAATATTATGAGATTCGTTTTATGTCGGCTGTGCGTCAATTCAAGACTGGCAATATTCTTAGCCAAATCTCTGATAATAGTAATAAAGTTTTTAATAATTTTACTTCTGATAACAATAATAAGCAAACCTAAGATGTTTAATAAATTTTTCTTGTTGAAATTAGATTATAGTTTCTACTGTTACATTTTTGAGATTGTTGACTGTTGTGGTGTCTTTGAGGTAGGGTGGCAGCTATCACATTCCTAAACAAACTGTACTTTGATGGTTCTAAAACCAGAACCTCTTTCTAAAAAAATTAACAAGCTGAAGAAAGCACAGATTGTCATGTAGCCCTGCCTAAGGGAAACAAGAATGTGATGATAAAATAAAACTCAATTAAAAACTGATTGTGATGCCGTCTCTACATAAAAGACTGTGATGTATTTAGGAAAATGTTTCTCCTGATCCAAGTTAAGGATAAGAGATAGGTAATATTCATTCTTGAATGTTGTGAACCTAATAATGAATGGAGATCATGTCTGCTGGACAAGAGTAAAAGACGCACACGGTACTGCATTTCGTGTCAATAATTTTTTGTGTAAATACATGAATGATTATATAATTTAAATTTTTGTACATGTTTATGTTATACTTTTAATAAGTGTGAGGAGACACACTTTTTCTTTTGCCATTTTAGTGCAAAAATAATATGAAATAAAGAAATATATTTTGCAAATCTGTCCTTACTTTGATACCAAAAGACACACAGCAAACGATTCACAGACAAGTGAAAGAACAGTTCTGACTTATATCCTTTTCCTTCTTCAAACCATAATGAGACCAAATCAATGATAACATTACTAGAGGTTTATCAATCAGAAAAAGATGAAATAAGAATCTTAGATGTCACATCACTTTCTGACAAAATGATGACAGCAGAAGTGAACAAAAGTAGGTGTTAAACTGTAAACCATTGACACATATTGAATAACCTACATTCGATGAAGAAAAATGAAACGAACCTCAGTCTGATAAAAGAATCCACCGCCATGTCAACACTACAAAGCATTCTTTGTTAACGCATGATGATTGTCAGTATTACAAGCCCTGACAAGAGTCAAATATCATCCCATTCAAAACATTGGAGTCTGAGTCTGCTCAGAAACTGTTTCCCAAACATGAATCAAGGCAAATGAATAGCAACAGAGATCAACAACTGAAAGTGAAAACTCGTTGTTGCTTAAGATAGCACTAAAATTGTTCCTACACGAATAGGTACACAACAATGGCAGTTGCAACATCTTTACCACATTTTCACACAGCTGACATTCCTACCACAATGACAGAGAGAAAAATACTTTGGGAAACCCAAAAGACAGTAGCCAGCTTGTCCTAAAAATAGATGGGATGCTGAGTCATAGAATACATCTCTGAACGTAACATCCCCGAAAAGGCGAGGTTCGGTGTTGATCGCAAGTGGAATCAAGCAAATAGAGACCCAGAACAAAGCCTGAGCTGCACAAATACATAAAAACACCGAAAAGAGAGAAGGTTAGGTTGCCGTCGACTTACCCATGACTTGCACCCGGCAAATGGCACAAGTGTCGCATTCGACGTCCCAGCTCCACATGGCCACGGCATTCCACTTCTTGAGCGTGAACATCTTCTCTGGCTTTGGAGTATCTCCATCGGCACGGTCGGATGAGTTTTCTTCGTCTGCCATCGTCAATCGGAGAGCACTTCTGACACTTCGTTTCAAACCACTCGATGTAAACAAAGTGCCGACGACAAACAATAGCGAATCGCGGTCAAGACACGGATGAAAAATTCAGAGGCCCTCTTCTGTGCCCGCGAAATTTCAACGCCCACGCGTCACGGTTCGAGAACAAAAGGAAGAAAGCAATAATACGAAACATGAAGTTTCTTCAAAATAGCTATGATTTTGAATTTCTAATGGTTGGTCAGAGAAAAATACCCGTCAGAAAAAAAAACGAAAAACAGTAATAATTTTATTTTGATGTCAGATGGCTTAAATGCATCTTTGGGACTCGTCGATGCTCACGCATCGCGCCCTGAGAGAGTGAAGCATCGAACGGTTGGGAGGGAGATGAACTGCTTCTGTGCCCCTTCGGGAATTCCCCTTATCGGCATCGGGAATTGACGACGAGTTGGTGACCAGTTTGCCGACCTGTTCTGCCGCGTGACGTCAGAGTTTCAAGCGCACTGAGGGGAGACGCGACTGGATGGATCGGGGGGAAGGGAGAAGGGGGATTTGGGGGGGGGGGGGCATCTTCGCGGTGTGACGGGCCTGTTGGCGGAATACCCGGCAACTTCACCGGTCGAGTCGCCGAGTCGCGCAGGATCGCATTTTGCTTCTGCCTCCGCCGCATCCCGCTGCCGCCCGCTGGCAGTCACGCCAGCGAGAAGAGAAGAGAACCCATCGATAGCTGCCTGGAGAAACATCGCCGAGGTCTCAACGTCTCAACCGCAGGGTGAGTTCGAAAAGCAAGCCATTATACACCGTCGGGGCAGTGCTACGAAAATCAAGCGAGTCGTTCGGTTGAGCATGACAGACAAAGCTAGCTTCGAAAAGGCACAACTGCATTCCAGTCGAAAATTCAGGAAGGACCCCGAAAAATCAACAATGCAGGCTTAGCAGTGTAGTATAAACAGCGTAAAGGCGCGACGCAATTTGCAAGCCTCTTTGTTCCTGACAAGTGAAGTGCATGCATGCAAAGTAGTGATACAGCAGAGTTTCAGAGTATGGTGCATTCAGTGAACCCTGTCCTCGCCGCGCTCAAAGGGAATTAAAACAACGCCACTGGGGCTCATTGTCCGAGTGCTGTTCCGGTGCGTTATAAGGGTTCGATCTTTGTTTTGCTCGTTGTTTCGAGGCTGTTTGCCACACTCATGATGGCACCAAGAAAAGGCCTGCATAGCAAAGGGTCGCCGCGAGGACAGGATTCACTGAATGGACCATACATAAAAGTTAGTGTGTACTGGACCCGCATGAATCACGAATCCGTTGTCCTATTCACGCTGTTTTCATATTCATGAATTTTGTTGTTTTTCTTTCTCAGTTTCGCTCCAGCCCAGGATGTTTTCTCGCACGGTGGTGGCGACGGCCGCCGTCGCGCTCGTCTTGGCCTGCGTCACGGACGTCACGGAGGGGGCGGAGGTGGGGCTGGGTTCGCCCGCCCCGGGCTTGGGTACGCCGCCGTCCTCGTTTCGATTCCCGCCAGGGCATCCGCCACTTTTGGTCGTCACTCCGTTTCCTTGCTGCAGCCCCCAGGTCGCTGCTGTGCTACATCGCGTCCTGGAACGGCAAGTTCCGCGCGCAGGACCTGAACCCCGACCTGTGCACCATGACGGTGGCGTGCTACGGCCGCCTCGAGGAGAACGGCAGTCTGCGGGAAGGCTCCGGCCAGGAGGAAATCCGTGAGTATGGACCAGTATGGAGTACGGACAAGGCGCCGACAGGCACACCATCAGTTGTGGTCTGGCCCGTAATGGTAATGGCAATGGGCCAGGCAGCAGGCAGCACTCATCGCGCGGGAGTCGGCTGGGCTGCCTGTCCGCCCGGCGCTGCCTCGCTGCCCGGCGCTGGCGTGGGGCTCTTGTCCAGCGTGTCGCCGCTCTCTCACTCGCGCCCCAGGGGCTGCCCCGCGAGTGCGAGAGAGATAGCAGAGCGCGCTCGATAACTGTCTTTCGAATCGACAGGCCTGCTGGAGGGTCTGAAGGCCCTCAAGACGACCAAGCGCTTCGACCTGGCCCTGTCCATCGGCGGCTGGGCCGAGGGGTCCGAGCGTTTCAGCGCCATGGCCGCCGACCCCGCCATGAGGAGGACCTTCATCGAGAGCGTCATCAAGTTCGTCGAGTACGTACGGCCAGCTCTGGAAGTCAGTCCGCAGACTGAGAGGCGTTTTCGTCGCTCTGTCTCTCTCGCACTCGTGGGGCGTGCGGTATAGGTGCGAGAGAGACAGGGCGACGAAAACGCCTCCCAGCCTGCTGCAGACCTAGTGTCGTTGGCGACGTGGTCAAATGACGATGTCACTGACGTGTCACTGACGTGTCACTGACGTGTCACTGACGTGTCACTGACGTGTCACTGACGTGTCACTGACTGATCCGCAGCCGCTACGATCTGAAGGGAGTGGAGGTGTCCTGGATCGCCCCGACGCGCCGAGGGGGCAAGCCGACGGACAGGGCCAACTTCGTGACGCTGGTGACGGTACGTGACCCGCAGGGGGTGCGAGAGAGACCGAGCGACGAAACGATTCTCCGAAATGGCTGGACGAACCAAGTGACGATGTTGGCACCTTCCAGGAGCTCTCCAGAGCGCTGCGCGCCCTGCCCACGCCGGTGAGGATGGGGGTGGCGCTACCCGTCATCAACGAGAACCTGGAGAACAAGGTGCTGGAGGCGTTCGACGTGACGGCCCTGGCGCCGCACGCCGACTGGATGCTGGTGCAGGGCTACGACCTGCACGGCCACTGGGACTTCTTCACGGACGTCAACGCGCCGCTCTACTCCGTCAGGCCCAACGACAACGTCACCGTGGTCAGTGACGTGCCGACAAGTGCCCAGAAGCGGTTTCGGAAGCAAGTGCCCTGGACGGGGGTTGAACCCGCGACCTTCTGTGTTGCAGTCCCACCTGCTGAAGGCGTTCCTGAGCGTGGCGCCCAGCCAGAGGCTCTTCCTGGGCATGCCGGCCTTCGGGCGCACCTGGGTGCTGGCGGACTCCCCCGTCCCCGGCGGGCTGGGCGCGCGCACCGAGCTGGGGGCGCTGTTCAGTGACGCGGGCATGCTCAGCTACCAACAGGTGAGGAGGGCAGCACGCCGTCGTCACGTCGGCGTCAAAGGAAAGCCAAAACGCCCTCGGAGGGAAAAAATTTGTCAGTAGGTAGGGCTGCGATGAATTTTTTAGCTGCTGGTTTTGGGTGGAGAGCCGGAAGAGATTGAGAACCACTGGCACGGGGGCATCCTACAGCCAGTGGCGGACGGACACTCATCGTCCCATTGCCAGGGTTAGCCAGGACTAGGCAGGGCCACCCAGGGCTGCCGCGGGTTCACGGCAGGGGCAGGCAGTGGCGTAGGGAGAGTCAGGGAGAGGTGGCCTTGGAAGTGGCTGCAAAAGCGGAGGGGGAGGAACGAGCAGGGAATGGGAGGGAATCGGGGTGCGGGCAAGGGGGGTGGTGGAGCCGGGAGGCGGGAAGGTGGTCCTCTGGGAAAGGGGGAGGGGAGATGGGAGAACCAGGAAAGAGGGGGGAGGGGAAGGAGAATAGGAACAGGAAAGGGGGTGGGAGCACTGCCGCGCACTGCCGTCCTTGGATACGATAGAGTGGGTGGTGTCTGTAAAGCTAGAGAGGGGGCAAGTCATTAGCTCTTACAGCAACGGGGGTAGTGGATTAAATAAAGTCCATCCAGACATAAAATTTAAAAAAGTGACCAGTTTTAGTGGTCGTTTTTATGCTGACACTAGTGTGACGAGCACACTGTCTAACGAAATGTTTCCCGCGCAGATCTGCCAGGACTTCAAGAAGGACGAGGACGACGAGGACGAGAGGCAGTGGTCCAAGTCGTGGGACCCCGTGTCCAAGACGCCGTACGCGGTCACCAACACGCGAGAGCGGAGGGGCTTCGTGAGCTACGACGACCCCCAGAGCATCCGCATCAAGGTGCGTTAGTCGCTCGAGTGTCGACGGCCTGGCACAGTGGGCCAGAAAAGCGGCGCCGGCGGCCAAAACTCCAGACGCGGTTTGGGCTCCAGAGTCGCTAAATAGGACTCGAACCGAGCGTGTGACCCCACCAATGGATTCCTCGTTCGGAGAGCAATCCATTGGTGGGGTCACACGCTCGGTTCGAGTCCTATTTAGCGACTCTGAAGCTCAAAACACGTCCGGGATTTCGACCCCCTCCACTGTGCCTGGAGGGCCTGGAGGGCGGCGGCGAATAGGAGCCGAGTTCCGCCGGCCGGGCGAGATTAGGCGAGATGAGAACACGCCCGGCAAATTGTTTCGCATTGTCTATTACCCGTTGACTCGGGCACGCAGCGGCACGCGGGCAGGCTCATTCCGAACGGGTCGCGCTGTCTCTCTCGCACCCTTACGGGACGCGCCATGAGTGCGAGAGAGACAGCGCGACTGTTCGCCATCGGAAAAGAGAGAGAGACAACCGTGCCGTATCCTCTGCCTACCTCACAGGCGGCGCCGAATGGAAAGTGCTTCCAACGCAACGTGGCGCAACCCATTTTCCAGTGCGCGCGCGTTCAAGGACGTTTGTTGCGCGACGCGGCGCAACGTGGCGCAACTCATTTTCCAGTGCGCGCGCGTTCAAGGACGTTCGTTGCGCGACTCGGCGCAACACCGCCACAGTTTCCCCGTCCTCCGCATCTGTGTGACGCCTTCCGGCGCTTAGGTTGTGTTTTCCTGATTTTCTTTGTGCGCTGCCCCCACAGGTGAAGTTCGCCCAGGACTTCGGCATGGGCGGCGCCGCGCTGTTCACCGTGGACAACGACGACTACTCCGGCCTGTGCGGCACGCCCTACCCGCTGACCCGGGCCGCGCAGTCCGCCCTGCAGGACTAGGCCCGGACCACGGCGACCACCACGACCACGACGACGATGCACGAGGCCAGGACCAGGCCGAGGCAGGCTCGGCCGAACCACCGAACGCGCCGATTGGAGCCTGGAGCTGCCGATAAGAGCGCAGCGGCGGACCAGCCGTCGCTCTGTCTCTCTCGCACTCACTGGGCATCCCGGGGGTGCGAGAGAGACGGTATGCGCACGGAAACAGTCGGCGCACGCTGACTTCCCTGCAGAAAGATTCGGCGCATGTCAGCAACGTGTGCTGTCTCTCTCGCACTCTCTCGCGGCGCTCTGCGAGTGCGTCAGAGTGCGCGACAGAGACGCAAGAGTGTCGGAATCAGTCTGCTGGCTGGATAAAGCAACACCGCCTCAGTGTGCTGACGGGACAGACAGGCCTCCCGACTGCTGCTGCCTGATGCCTGATGCGACTCGAGGTGCGGGGGCTGCCTACTTCCGCGAAAAGGGCGCCCCCACCCCACCCCAAACAAACACTGCCGTATCACTGGCAACGAAATAATCAACAACGTTGACGGCTTCGGGTTGGGACAGCTGACCCCTTCCGAGGACTTTCCTCGGCGTAGCGGTGCGATGCGACTGTTTATGGTGTGGTACATCTCATATGACAAGAGCGCCGTCTCTTCCGAGAAATGTGACGCCGTGCCGTCGCGAGCGAAGCGGCTAGTCAGTTTTGCGATTTTCATCTTTCGCCGTGCCAGCCGGACGCTGTCGGACGCTGCCAGAGCAAGCAACAACTGAATTCTCGACGAGGACGAAATGACTCGCTGTAAGACTGCTGATGAATGCCAAAATAAAAGTCATGTAGACTGGTGCGATGTTGCTGCTGTACCCTTCCAGAGCCCTTCTTCCAACCATTGTTCAGTCTAGAAGTCTAGACTCGCTCAGGGGCTGCCCGAAGGCCTCTCACTTCTCCTCGACGGCGCCCGGAGCGCCTGGCGAGCCTCCGGGTAGGCCACCCGCTCCTCAAAGGTGTTGTGCGGCACGGCCTACCCCGAGTTCGTCAGGCGCTCCTTGAAGACAGCTCGGCCGAGCCGAGGTTCGTTTGGTCGCTTTGCCTCGCTGTCGCACTCATGCGGCGTTCCGAAGGGGAGTGAGAGAGACGGAGCGACGAAATGAGCTTTCGGAATTGCGGGATCAAGTCCTGCGGTGCTACTTCACTCTACATTCGCGGTCCCTGCGCCAACATTTCCAGAGGTCGTCGCGGTCGGTTCATCGCCCCTCCGCCGTCCCTGCCGGCCTGCCTGCCTACTTGACAGGCCCGTGCGACGTCCGAATTGTCCGAGGCTCCGAGGTACAGTCAACAGGCCCACCAGGCCGCCGCACATACGATGACCTCCCCATCCCACCCGAGAGGGACAGAGACACCAAATCATTCGACGAATGTGGCAGTGGCCCCCCAGAGTCCCCAGACCAAGATAATGGTCCCAAACGATAAGTCTTGGTACGGAGCGCAGCCTCCGCCGGGAGGGTGCGGACGCCTGGGGCAGAGGCGAAAAAATAAAAATACTGCCCCACCAGTCATACTCTCCATAAAACCCGCCCGTACACACATGTGAAGCTCGTGGTCGAGAGGGAGGAAAACGACAGTGGCGTGGCATTCCCTGTCCGTCGATGCGCTGAGCGGTCTACGACCATTTTCACTTTTTATGAAATCCGTTTTGACCTTGAGAGTGGTGGCAGTTTTTCACTGGTTAGGAAGCCGAGGCACAAGATAGTGGTTGAGGGTTGTCCGGCATCCTTCCAGTGGGCCCAGGGTAGCGCAGGGTAGGGGGTAGGGGTTCGCGACGATAGCAGGGGAGGGTTGCTTGCGCCCCGTCGGCGGTTTCTCAGTGAGCAACTCTCGCTTGCTTTCGCGGTGCATCACGTGCTAGGCTTTGTTTCTTTGTTTTCTGCTTTTTGTTTTTGTTTTCCCGTCGGCCGTTCCGCGGCCCCTGCTTCCGCCCCAGCCCCCAGCCCTGCCCCCGCTACTGCGGGCCGGTCGGCGTAGGTCGGCTCAGCGCAGCGCATTCGTCTTTCAGCTGATCAGTCATAAACAACCACCATGGCGGCGACGTCAGGTCTCCGTCTGCTGCTCGCCGCGGCCCTCCTGCTGGCCGTGTCCGCCGTCAACGCGGGGGACTTCGTCAGGTGGGCCCTCCACTGCCAAATGAGGCGTTTGTTTGAATCCGGTTACGATTACGATTTGGTGCGAGGATGCCAGCGGCCTCCGCTCGCCCGGTGTGACGGGGTTGAGGTTAGGGCCATCATGACACAACTGAAAAACTAGACCCTGGGCTAGAACAAAGGAGTCATGGCACCAGTGGCTGATTCTGGTGCGTTTTTGAAACGGAGTCGAGTTTGAGCTTGGCAAGTCACTTGATTAACGCTGGCGAGGTTCAGAAATGCGGGGCTGAGGCGAACAACAAATAAGGGCAGAACTACCCCTGGATGTTGGGACTCCGCTTTGCTGCTAGGTTTTGTTGGAAATAGAATTGTTGTAGGTAATTTGTAATTTATTTATATTTGATCTTTATATTTTAATGTCTCAGTTGCTGTCCTTATTTGTTGTCCTTGTCACATTCCATTCGGTAACATTCAGGGTGGCGTTCCACCTTGGGGTGCATCTTATGACGTCGACATTGTTGTTCTTTTTTGTTCATGCTGCATTTTCTTTATCCAACAGGATTCCTTTGACGCGTGTCCAGTCTGCTCGCCGTCAGCTCCAGGAAGTTGGGACTGCAGTTCAACAACTTCGTCTTCGTTATGGAGGACCCACGCCTGAGCCTCTTTCCAACTATCTGGATGTTAGTATATTTTCAGGGACCTATTTTAATTTCTTTTGGTCAAGTTATTGCCTGTAAAATATTTAAAATTATATTTTTAATTTAATATGCTTTCTCTTCAGGCTCAGTACTATGGTCCCATCACCATTGGCAACCCCCCACAGACCTTCAAAGTTGTCTTTGATACCGGCTCTTCAAATTTGTGGGTTCCTTCAAAGAAGTGCCATTACACCAACATTGCATGCAGTAAGTGGGGAAAAAAAAAAAAAAAAAAACCTGCTTGAACTCAGTTTTTGAGAATGTCTGTTTCCATTCTTATTCATTCTTGTTCAGTATATTATTGTGGCTAAAACTGATTTACTATCCCTAATTTTGCAGTGCTTCACAACAAATATGACAGTGCCCGTTCAAACACTTATTCCTCCAATGGAACTAAATTTGAAATTCATTATGGCTCAGGCAGTCTCTCTGGCTATCTCTCCACTGATGTTGTGACTGTAAGTAACACCATTTTTCTTTTGTTGCATAATTTTTAAGATAATTTTTCACAAATTTTTGGTTGAATGAGGAATACAAATGACTGTCAAGCATTGTTTGGTTTTTCTTGACAGGTTGGTGGATTGGCAGTTAAGAACCAGACTTTTGCCGAGGCCATCAGTGAGCCAGGCCTGGCCTTTGTTGCCGCTAAATTTGATGGCATCCTGGGCATGGCTTACAAGTCCATTGCTGTCGATGGTGTTCTGCCTGTGTTTGACAACATGGTCAAGCAGGGATTAATTCAGTCTCCTATCTTCTCATTCTACCTTAGCAGGTATGCAAAAGCTGTAGTAATTTTAATTTTCCTTTCTTAAAATGTAACTTCTTTTTCCCCCTTTCTGAAGTAAGTTCGGGTGCTTTATGAACATTGTTGTTAAATTACCAGGGACCCTGCAGCCCCACAAGGAGGCGAAATCATCCTTGGTGGATCTGACCCCAAACATTACCAAGGAGACTTCACCTATGTCCCAGTTGACAAGCAAACGTACTGGCAGTTCAAGATGGACAAGTATGTTGTGAATTTATTGGTATTTCAAAATTATTTTGTGACAGCATTTTTGGAAATTGTTGTGAATTGTTTTGTTTTGCAGAGTGAATGTTGGTGGAGGCAAGTACACTTTCTGCCAGCAAGGGTGCCAGGCCATTGCTGACACGGGAACCTCACTTATTGCTGGGCCTGTGCAAGAAATTAACAAGCTGAACCAGGCTCTTGGAGGAACACCAATCATGGGTGGAGAATACATGGTAATTGTGCTAATATTCTGAAGTGCAACAGTCTACTGTTCTAGTTTTTCTGCTGCATGTGTCATCTTTTATTTTTGTTTCTCCTTCAGATTGACTGCAAGAACATCCCAAGTCTCCCCAAGCTTGATTTTGTCATTGGTGGAAAAGCTTTCTCCTTGGAGGGCAAGGACTATGTTCTGAGGGTAAGTCTTCATACCATTCCGTATAAGAGTGTCAGCAAATTATGAGTTTTGAAACTTACTTTAAAATAATTCTTCTTTCATTTAATTTTTGCAGGTTGCTCAATTTGGCAAGACAATCTGCCTTTCCGGCTTCATGGGCATCGATATTCCTGCCCCTCTAGGACCCCTTTGGATTCTGGGTGATGTTTTCATCGGCAAGTTCTACACAGAATTTGATATGCAGAACAACCGTCTTGGCTTTGCCGAATCTGTTTAGAATCCAAGTTCCATCTTATCTCCAGTTTCATGTTTTTTTCCCTACTGATTCTTTTTTTCCATATTTATTATGGATTAGTTATTATTGCAATGTAGAGCTAAGAAAGCCATGTCATGTTATTTAATTGTTTTTTTGCTAAGAAATTGAGTAATGAATAAGAACAAATGATCCTCCTTTTATACTAGTGAGTTTTGGAACAAGTGTCTTGTGATACAAATGAGTGAAATAAAACAGCTTTTTCTTAGATATTTCTTTCAATGCTGCCTCTCATTCCTAGATGCTTCCATATCATTTGCAGAGAAAGAGGAATCTTGTTTTATCAAGTGCATTGCACAGAAGTTCAATCAAAATAATTTCATTATCAGTGCCAAAGATTTCAAATAGTTTTTTGATCAAATAGGAATGATTAAAGGCAAACATCTTTTGATGTGAGATATTTCGAAGTATTTGAAGCAACATGAGTTACTTGTTGTGAGCTAACGGCCAAGTGTTCAGGTTGAGGAAAGCAGAGACAAAAATTGCATGGAAATCAACTCTTTATTGCCATTATGAACCATTTTTCATGAATGCACATGGCCAGGTTGTCCAACTGTACAATAGTGCTAAAGAAAAATGAACTAATACTGTGCAGCAGTAACGTGTCACAATGACATTAAAAAAAATTAAGTACAAAAAAATAACTGGTAATGTTCAAAATGTCTGATGCACCAAATAACAGGTCAAACCCCATAAACAGAAATGAACACAGAATGCAGAACTGTAGTCCAAGTCAAATATGGAACAGCCCAGATATCGTGGCCATACATGCAGGACACCCACGACAAAGAGTCAAGTTCCAACAGCCACCTTAAAACTCCCACCTCTATCTTACACAGCGCCATAAAACACTAAACAATGTTATCACGGCAAACACCACGATTTGGGGACAGGGTGATTTCAGATATCCAGTCAAATATGTAATTCAGGTACCATCTAACTACATCAATAGACGTCAAATACAGGCCTCTATGATAGGCCGTAGGAAAAGAAAAAAAAGGAAAATAATGATGTAGGAATGATCTTTAAAATTAGGAGTTCATCCAAGTCAAATGATGAAACAAAACGGCTTGGATGAAGAACAGAAAACACGATTAGTGAGGCCATTGAGGGAACATGATCACTTAGGTCCACCATTGATCCCACAAGTCAACACTATTGATAATTTAGATGACTTAGGCAGTAGCCTCAGCTTCGACGGTGCCATTGCTAGCTTCCTTCTCTTCTGCGTCTGCAAGCTTGGCCTTCTTCTCGGGGCTGACTCCCTCGGCAGCTGCTTCCGCGCTCTCCTCCGCACCAGTGGACTTCCTCTTGGTGGCGGTCACTTCAGCTGAAACAAGTACGATCAACGTCAAAATGGATCGCAGCTTTCAAACCAAAACAAATCACAAATGGGTCAAAACTCACCGGTGCCATTTTCTGTTGACTCAGCCTCCTTCTCTTCTGCTTCTTCAGCGGTGCCGTTTTCTGAGGGCTCTTCCTCCTCCTTGGTGGCATCCTTATCGTGACCGTTCACGGTTTCAGGGACTGAGGGCTCATCAGCTGAATCCTCAACCTTCTTTTCGGTCTCCACCTTCTCAACATCCTCTACCTTCTTCTCAGGGGTGGTAACCTCACTGCAACAGAAAACCACACACTGTTAGATACCGTAAACACCAACTCAAACAAACACTGCATAAACACCCCACCCCATGGACATGCGCGCGCCGGTGAGGTCGGAGTGCCAGGACCATTCTCAATGGGAAAGCCACCTCCGAGCCGCGACGCCCCGGGCCGCGCGGGGCCGGGCCGGCACTGCCCGCGACAGGACAGGACAGGCCCCGGAGCGGCAAGTCCAGACCGGAGGGGAAGCCGCGAGGACGGCGGGACTTCGCGGACTTGGCAAGGCAAGGGGAGCCGCGGGGGGCAGCCAGGCCCGCACCGCCAAGCCCCGGACCCAACCCGCACCGCAAGGCTTCGCTGCTCGCTGCTCGGGCCGACGCGGCCATGCCGCGCCATGCCACCCCACGGGCGTGCTCCGTGCACTCCGTGCCCGCCTGCCACTCCACTACCGCGTCCGGAACATCCTCCGTCTCACTTGCTCTCACGGCGCGCGAGCACGCCGCCATGGACGCGACAAAGACGGCGAGCGCGGCGCGGCGTGCCCGGCGCTCCCAACGCGGCCCTAGATGCCCGCCCGAGCGCGTCCGAGAGCGCGAGGGGCCTCCGTCGTTTCGCTCGCACCGCGGAGTCGGAGCGCACGCACGCCTCGCGCTGCGCACGATTCGCACGCAGCCAGCGCTTGCTCGCTTGTCCCACGCCTGGGCTGCGCAGAGCGCCTGCGCGCAGCACACCAACTGACGCCTCCGGCCATCAACCGCACACCACGCAACGCCAATTTCACCCGATTCTGAACACGCGGGGTACAACACTGAACACGAGGCGGCAAAGAACGCCCAGACATGTTTCCCAGCGACCCGCGTCCACGTTAGTCCAAGTCCGAGGGCCCCTCCACTCACGGCTAAGGCAACATGTCGATCGATGGAGGCCGGCCTCGAACTAGAGCAACACGGTGCCAACTTTCATTATTAACTAGAAATGCACATCGACAGGATAAGTTAACAAGCCCCAGAGACAGGATGGGCCGACCCAGAGCCACGCCGGCTTGACTTGAACAAAGGCCGGCAAAGGCGGCGCGCTGCGTCTGCCATCTTGACGCGACGCGACGCGCGGCGCGGCAATGCCGCTTGGCCGGTCAAACGCCGCAAAAACACACAAATGTCGCTCAAATCACTTTGCTACCACGCGGGGGTACTTACGGGGCAACTGCGGTGTCTGCCATTGTTGAATGTGTTGGTTAAATCACCACTTTTCAGTCAGAAGTGCAGAGTAACTGGAGAGCTGGACGCCGATGCTTCCACGCACAACCTTCTCTAACCAACTGCTCGACAGCGAAAGAGCCGGAGCGGCGTCCCCTGCCGCGCTCGCCGCCGAGAACCCCTCTCTACATTTTCCCGCGTCAACCAGATCGCGCTGGCGGCCACCCCTTCACCCCCGCGGCCTCTTTCCGTCTCTCTCGCACCACCCCCGACCGCCACCCCCGGACCCCCCTCGCCCGGGAGCCGAAGCGGAGCCGAGCGGAGCCGAAGTCGCGCCGAGGCCGTCGGGTCGCCTGCTGCCAGCTCGGTCTGCGCCGCCTGGCGGCCTGGCGGTCGGGGGGAGGTCGCCGGCCCCGTCTGTCCCGCCTTGCCGGCCGGCGGCCTGCCTGCCCTGACTGTCCCGCCGGCAGGGGTCCTCCTCCCCTCGCCGCCTCCCCGCCCCGCCCCCCTCCCCCTTCAGCTAGCCGCGTCGTGCTGCTTGCTGTGCGGTGCGGATTGCTCGGGCTGCGAACAGAACCCTGCCAGATTATTACTGCCAATATCGCAGACTCTGGAAATTTGCGTACTTGTTTGAGGTGCATTGGGCCCGCGGGTCCGCCGGGGCCTCGGCGGCCGGCGCCAAGGGGCTGCCCGCGGGGACGCCCTCTTCGGCGCGGCCCTGCCGGCCTCGGACTTCCTGGCCGCGCTGGCCGCCGTGCTCCTTGGCGTGAAGGGCCTGCCGTCGGCGAGCCGTCCCATCCGCAGCCGCAAAGCGCGCAAAGCAACGCGAGGGCCCCGAAGGCCCGAAGGGTCGCGGGGGGCCATTGCCCCCCTGCCGCGGCATGGCGGGGCATGGCGGGGCATGGCGGGGCAGACAGGGCACGGCGGCATGGCCAGCGGTGCGGCATGGAGTAGAGCACCAGCAGCAGGCATAGGATGAGGGGAAGGGCCGACAGAGGTCGTCTGCTGCAAAGGCTGCAAACGGAAAGGAAAGGGGGGCAGGGCCGGGCAGGGCCGGCGGGGCATTCGTAGCGGCACCGAGACACCGAGACCGAGGCGGAGGCACCAGCGAACCAGCGCGAGAACGGCATCCTCCCGAAAACTGGACAAGCATTCGGCGCACGCACGCGGCGACCTCAGTCGCTCTGTCTCTCTCGCACCCTCACGGGCCGCCCCACGAGTGCGAGGGAGACAGAGCGACAGTTCGGGACCAGCTTGATGTCACCCCCTCCTGGAATCCGGCGTAGTAGGCGCCCAAATCTGCCCTTCTTTCATAATGGGGGTTGGGGAAGGTCTGGAAGGTCGTGCCCCCCGACTGTTTTTGTTTTTGTTGTTGCGGGGATGCATGGACGCCGGGCTCTCGGATACCCTGCTGGGAAAACGAGGAGAGCCTGAGCCATCCCGAAGAAAGTTGGATTGCGTCAAGCCGGGGAGAGGAGAGGAGGGAGAGAGGCTTTTACGACGCCGCGTCACTGCGCTTGCAGCGCTTGCTTATTACACGGCCGAGTACAATGTTACACTTAGTGGCCGCTCTCTCTGTCTCTCTCGCACTCACGCCCCGTTGCGCGAGAGAGACGGACCGTCGAAAGCACCTCGGAATCACTCTGCAGCCCCGCGCTCCGCGAAATTCAAATGACACGGGGGTGGGGTCACTGGATCATGAACCACCATCAAACCGAAAGGGACAGCAAGCAGTCCTGAAGACTGAGACTGGTCACGGTACACAATTTTATGGATTCGATATTTGACGGGTGCTGCTTGGGGCCTCGCCCTCCCCCGCCGATCGTTGGTTGTTGACCTAAACCAACAGGCCAATCATTTCGTTCATTTCCGCGGAGGGCTCTGCAGCCGGGGCCCGGAGCCCTGCGCCATTCTCGAACTAGTCTTTCCCGCCTCCGCAAAACGCACTCTGCAATTTGGCGGCGGCAAACTGTCCATTGCTTGACAGTGTGGCGGCTGCGTGTGGGCCGAGTGGCTGATCCCGGAGATCGTTCCGTCGCTGTGTCTCTCTCGCACCCCTGCGGAACGCCCTTTGGGTGCGACAAACGAAACGAGCTTTCAGTCGGCTGAGAAGTTCTACGTGTCCGCGTATGGCACTCGCCGCGTTTTCACAACTCCGACTTCATTGACTCGACGGCGTGCGGCGGCACAGCGAGCAGTGTTTTGTCTTTCTGCCTCTCTCGCACCCCTGCGGAACGCCCCTGGAGTGCGATGGCGACAGCGACGAGGCCGCTGTTCGCAGTCAGTCTGCAGGACTGGCGGGACGCAAGGCGCCGGACCTCGCCTTTGCGCGCCACGCGCCGCGCCAGTGCGGCCAGCTTCATGAAATTTTATGACGTCAATTGCAAAAGCACCGGGAGCATCGGGATTTCGCGCGCTCCGCGGAACGCGCCACGCTCTTGCGGTTGTGTACAGGTGTCCGTTTTTCACGCGTCGGGACAGACCTATTTCAGAACTTTCAAGATCAAGTTCTCGGCTGACAGCAGCGTTTCGCGGAGGGAAATTTCCCCGCGATGCCCGCTCGCCAGAGGGGCGGGCGGGGGATATTATGGCTAGCCGGTGAAAGATTGGCAACACTGGCGAGTCTCTTCATTCAACCCCATTCACAAAATACGTAACACGACCTCGCCGTCGTTTTCGTGCCAAAAATCCCCGCCCCGCCCCGCGCGGTTACGTGCTTTCTGGACGGCCGGACCCAGATCGTCGACCTTTGCTTGAATGTGGCGTTTATTTCAATCTGCCGACAGCATATTTGAGGGCGCGACTCGCCGAGTTGGGTATTTTTACTTGAAACGAGAACGTGGTCGTGGCGAGCGCGAGCGGCCTGCCCCGAGTGGCCCGCTCCGCTGTGCTCCGCTGCTGCCGCGGCGAAGGGCCCGAACGCCCGAATGTCCCAAGGGCTGCGCGTGCTGCGCTGCGCCGGTCGTCCTGCCTGATGGCTTTGGTCGTATCGCGTCGCCCTTGCCACCCTGCGAGCCCTTGCGAGCCCTGCTGCTCTGAATCGGATCGATCCACCTGTCATCTGCATTTCAGCCGCACAAACACTCGCCCGATCTTTTATCTTTTCATCCCTCCAGCAGGGTGCGCTGATGAGGGTGCGCTAACGAGCTTGGTGTTGGCACCTCGCAATCCACAAGTCCGAAGTCTGGCTGCCGTCGGGCTGCAACTCCCTTCCGGCGAGCGAGGAGGAAAAGGCGCGCAACTGGAGGTCATCGAAAACCTGCAGCCCGGCGACGCATGTTTCGTTCGTCGCTCTGTCTCTGTCGCACTCACAGGGCGTGCCGCGGGGGTGCGAGGGAGACAGAACGAGCCTTCGGAAGCGCTCGACGGGCGCTCCTCCGCCGAAGTGATCGGGCGCGCGGCCATCGTGCCCAAATCGATGTCCGCCTGCACCTACCCGTCAACACGCGCGCCGCGGCCACGCGGCCACGCCCGCCGTGTCCCGGCAGGTGGAGCAGGAGGCCCTTTTGTGTGCGAGTGTGTGGCACACTGTGTGCGCGCGTTGCCCTGGAAACGCACACACTCGCCCTAAACACCTTAGAGCACCTCCGCGCCGAAAAAGACTGCAAAAACCCTGTAAAAATTGAAACCGGGCGGAAGCCGACCTCCTTTTCGTTATTTTTGCGCTCCATCCCACTGCTGTGTTCCACGTGTTCCATGATAACGCCCCTATGGCCCTCCCCTGCACTCCCCCTGCCCTCCGCCCCTCCCGGCCCCTCCCCGCCCTCCCCGCGCACGAGCCGGGGGTGCTTGCCTTATGTCCCGGCCTTACCCGTCGACAGGTGAGATGAAAAAAATTCTGCCCTTTTCCGGCGGCGCGCGCGGTCGCACGCCGGCGCAGGTGAAGTGGATCGCGATCTTCGTCGCTCTGTCACTCTCACACTCACGGGGCGTCCCGTAGCGGTGCGAGAGAGACAGAGCGACTGTTGGGAATCGCTCTGTTGCTCGATCATAAGCCGCGAGGTTTATTAATAGCGCCGCGGGTCGCGTCAATGCGACGGCAAGGCGGTGAGACGGTGGGGACCCGCGAAATTCGATAACGCGTCATCGAAGACATCAAAATCCAGGACGACTCGGCAGCTTCGTTTCGCCAGGACACCCAGGACCTTCTTGCGGCCGCGTTGCCTCAGGGAGACAAACTCGACAAACCGTCAAATATCAATGCCCGTGCGGCGTGGGGGTCGCGAGTTGCAAAAACGCGAAAAAGTGACTTTCCGTCTGCGATTTTGGTTTGCACGATCCCTTTCTGAACGGATTGTTGTGTACTAAGTGCGGACTATCGGAGCAACTCGGGCGAAATATTGCGACTGCCGGATATTTGCGCCTGTCGGGACATGTGTGCGGTCTACGCGGTCTGGTGTCGGGGGAGGATAGAAGATAGAGCTCGTACATCTGTCTATCCTGCTCGCGCACGCGCCAGCACGCAGTCCATGTCGCTCAAAGCTCGCCTTCTCCCTCTGCCTCGCTTGTTTCCCATCCCTTGTCTCCCTCTGTGTCGCCTCGTCCTCCCCTTCGTCCTTCTCCTCGGCCTCTCTCTCGCTCCCTCTTCATCGGCGTGCTCCCTTCCCCTCTCCGTCGCACCTTCGTGGAACGTCCCTCCCCCTCCCCCCTCGCGCTCTCTTCCTGCTCCTCCTTCTCTCCCTCACTTCCCTCATCCTCGAGTGCCGCGCCGCCTCTCCGGTCGTACTGGTTTATTTCTGGCCTTCCCCCTCCCCTCCCCGCCCTCCCGTGCCGCGCGTCGCGCCCACCGCGCCGCCGCGCCGTGCCGTACCGCGCCGCGCTGACGCGCCTCACCGCGCTCTGCCGCGCGCCGCCATGGCGCGCTGCCCCGCGTCGCGGGGAGAGGGTGCGGGGGCGCGGGGCCGCGGGGCGGGGTGCGGGGGCGCGGCGTTCGTTCGGTTCGGTTCGGTTCGGCCGGGCAACGAACGGGCCGACCTTGCTTCGCTTGGGCTTCGCTTGGGCTTCGCCCGTTGCTTCGGCTCTTCGGCTTCGCGCCCAGCCAGCCCAGCCAGCCCAGCCTCGTGGTGCTTCGTGGCGGCACGAAGCGCACGAAGACAGCCGAAGAGGCTGCGAGCCGAGTCGGGGCCAGGGGGCCAAGCCGAGGCACGCGGGGGCCGCGTCTG